TTATAAAAGTATGCTGAGTCACTCAAGTACTATTTATAGAAGTTATATTTGCACAAAACAATGTTTTGTTAGTTATACCGAGAAATGTTGTTTTTGAATTTTGGAAAAGTTAGTTGGCTTCATGTTGAAACGATGTTCAAAACAAAGATGTTAGGTAAAGTGCTTAAAAATATAAAATATTTACTAAATATTACGTTCTGTTGTGCCTACACAAATATGAGCTTTACCCCAAAAAAGAAACTACCAAACATTTTCATTTAAGCCACTCACACATGAACAGTAAACCAACTTAATTTATAAATAGCACCACCTTTGCTATTAAGTATGCTTCATAATTTACTTTGTGTACACATCCATGAAGGAGTGGATGGCTTGGAGGGCAGCGGTCAAGTTGACAGGAGTGGCTATGTACACAATAATGGAGGGGGGAAGGGGGGAAGAAGGACTGGTGTGTGTGTGTGTGTGTGTGTGTGTGTGTGTGTGTGTGTGTGTGCGTTTTAAACTCTTTTGACCAGTTGAATTTGATGTGATTCAAATACTATTACATACACACACATGGTCACATACGCACATGCTATGTGCTGTATAAAAAATATCAGACTTCATGACCCTCCCTCCAACCTAACACAATACCTGATTGGGTGTGGGGGTGGGGTGTGCAGGGGCGGATTTAGGCCGTCTTCTGGGTCTTCTGGAAGACGGTCAGATTTTTAAGTTAACATTGACGGGTATCTAATTTTTTCTGTCGGAAGACGCTCAAAAATGGAGGATGGATCAACAAATATAATTTGGAAGACTATCAGAAAACATCTCTGGATCCGCCCCTGGGTGTGGGGGTGGGATGGGGGTGGACTGGACACATTCATATTTTGGTTGACGTGGCAAGCTGTCCAATGGGTTATATGTACTTTTACATAACAGTCAATACATAAAAGTCCTCTACTTTGACATGGTGTCACAGAAACTGACAAGATAGTACTTAGTGTCACCAAATGTCAACACAGAATATTCATATCTTATATCCCAGCCATTTATCTCATGGCAGGGGTCAAATCTCACCACTGTATGTCTTCATAGGAAATGACACTCAACAAATCACTAAACCCACACATATTTCCTGACAAATGTCACAGTTGTCTAAGTGAAATTGCTTCAGATGATTCATAAGTAACCAAGATGTTCACTGTGCCCAAGACACGGTGCCTATTCATTTTTTTTTTTCATGTGCATCCCACAAATATGTGACTAATGCTTATATAAATTTTATTCAGCTTTTATTCTTAACCACTTGAAAAGTGATAAAACTGTCTATTTTTGTAACAATAATGGTGGCAATTCTGAAAAGAAAATCAGAATTTACAGATGAAGAAATATACAAATGCCATGATCAAACCACCTGTTGGTCATCATGAAAACTGGACACCAGTGACCCCACACTAAACTGAGTCTGGCCAGGTATAGCTGGTTATAGTCAAGCCATCATGCTGGGTATAAAAAGCTGTTCCTGGATACAAAAGACCAACTAGCACTGGTTCAGGTGTTTATGACATCACAAAAATGTCAAACTCCCACTATAGGGTTTGAGTTCACAAGGGACCTGCTTGAAATCACACACACACACACACACACACACACACACACACCAGAAGACAGACATACCTGCCATTAACAGCTGCCATAATTTCAGCAAACATCAACTGTTTTAAGTTCTTCACTCTCCTCGCTCTCTTCCCTTGGATAATTGAACCCTGAATCCTCTCAGCTCTTCTGGCCTATATGTATATATATTCCTATATCTCCCAAGTTACAGCAAGATATGGTTCACAGACTACTGCCTCACGCCACGCCAAAATCACGTCCCGCTTAAACGCTTCCACAACTTTTTACTCAATGTTTTTAAAGTCACAACCTCACCACAGGTCCCTATTTACGGACACCCTGCAACCACCTGCTGAGATTGAACAATGTTTTCCCTGCTTAGTCCCTGTATCAATAACCCGGAGAATATAACAGGAGTTTGTGGAGGTGTCTGGAGTGGTCCTGTATAAGTGGCTTATGTACTGTGTGTGTGTGTGTGTGTGTGTGTGCGGAACAGGGGGTATGTTATCTGAGGGGAATCTAAAGCCAGTCTCTCACCTGGAGGGCCAAATATTTAGGGAGAGTCTGAGGGGATGGAGGGAGATGTTATCTGAGGGAATTTAAAGCCAGTCTCTCATCTGGAGGGCCAAATATTTAGGGAGAGGCTGAGGGGATAGAGAAGCATTTTATATGAGGGAATTAAAAGCCAGTCTCTCTCAGTGTGCTAAATGTTAAGAGGTTGTTCCCTTATCCAGGGATGATAACATCAAGGGGAAAGACTGAAAAGAGGGGAGATAACATTTATGTAGGTATGTGTAATCTGTAGGGATCTGGTCCTGAAATGCAGGGAGAGGTAGAGAGGATGGAAGCAAAAATCAATAAGGCATGTGTTTCTGAAGACAAAAAACCAAGGGAGGTGCAATATTATGGAAGGTGTTAAGTCTTTCACCTTAGTAAATAGGCTCATGCCAAGATAACTATTTATCTTACGTTACACACGGCGGTCGTGGCCGAGTGGTTAAGGCGATAGACTAAGTCTGTTGGGGAATAGACCAAGATCTCCCCGCACAGGTTCGAATCCTGTCGACTGCGAGCCTTTTCTGTTTACGGTGCAGGTGACACAGGTTCCTCCAGGTCGTTCTAACAGGATTGGTCCATCTCCATGGGGTTTCTCGCTAAATTGCTTTCAGCTTAAGTGGCTTAGATGTCTTGCATGCCTGCTTAAGTGAGGTGCAATATTACGGAAGGTGTTTAGTTTTTCACTTTAGAAAATAGGCTAATGCTAAGAGAACTTCATTCATCGACCCTTTTTATTCATAATTCAAGAGACACATGCAGCAGTTTTTGTACGACTAACAAGGCTATGATTTAAGTATGGGGAATTTAATACTTTAATGAGCTTAAAACACACCTTTCTGCACCTGTTGCTCCAGAATTTTAGGGAGAGGACACTGGGCAGATGTTCATGGACCTGGATGTGAGTGGGGAGGGGGGATGAAACTGATTTTAGAAGAGAACAAATATGTAGGATTAGGATCTGATCTTTGTGCAACTGGATATTTCAACTAAAACATATAATCAGTACAACTGGAGTTGGTAAACAGGAGCTAAAATAGGCTAGGTTATTTCCAAATGCAAGCATGTAAGCTTGGGATCATCAAATCTATGATATATCCTTAGGTAATTAAAATAACACTTTTTCAAAATTTCTTCAAGGGCACAAGTGCATCGTGGGACATTAAATACAAGCATAGCATCATCAGTTTTTAATGATTTCAAAAACAGCACGAAGTTTCAACCAGTTTTTTCTTGACCATAAAAATCAAGTTTAAGATCAAAGGGGACGGACCACCAGGGAAATTATGCCACGTCTCCATCATCTCTGCATAATATATGAAGTCTGAGATGATAAGCATAGAGAGGTGACTGTGTACCCAGTAGATGGATGTCAACCAGATGGTATCATCTGTCTCCCTGGACCTGGGACACACAGGGGTCAGTCACACTCCAGGGGCGCAGTCACACAGAGGAACTTTAGACCAAAATTTAGTCTAAACTTTTAACCATCCAAAATTTGGCTTATTTCAGTTCCAGATAATTCAACAGCTGTTCTCTTAAATTAAGAATTGGTGTAAAACAAGCTACATTTTTCTTCTGTTTTAAAAAGGCACACTACCAATAATTTGAGCTATTAATGATTTTTTATGGACAACGTAGACCAATATTTTAGTCTAAAAGTTAAGACCAATATGTAGTCCACAGTGCTTTTGTGGCACCAGACCCAGTGGTGATATATGGGACAAAGATAATGACACAATATCACAGTGTTAAATATCTTGTGGTGCAAGTATTATTCCCACAGGGAAATATCATGCTGTAATTCATCTGCCGTTTGTTAAAATCATGATCTAAATCTCTAAAGGGATAAGGAGAAAATGTACTGTAAACCTCAATTATAAATTTAATGACCAATCAGATAATTGTCTATGTTACAAATATTTTTCTTGCTTGAACTGTAAAAAATCACATCACATCAAAAGTCATTGTCCCACATAAGATCAGCAAAATGTGATTTTAGCCTTTATCTCAGGCTGCATAGAGAATCAAAAGAATACACGTGAGGTCTTAAAACTTTTACCAAAATCTTTGTTGAAATCATTTTCAGTCTTTCCCTAAAATAAAAGATCCACATAAAATACCTCATAAAGTACATTTTGAGGATAAATATGAGGACAAACCATATGTCTACATTCTGTCACATAGTAAATCACCTTCAAGCACACCCATTCTACGCAGTTTTAACCACACACAGAATACCGAGAGGGCATCAGGACCAGAATTACACCATTTGTTATTCAATTTTATTTTTTTGATGGGAATCTTGTGTTAATTTTTGTGTTTATATTGATGCAGGGTGTGCTTAAACACTTATTTATAAACTCTGCTTTATCAGCTGTTCAGCATTCCTCTGGTGTATTTAATCCCAAAAAATTTTACATCAGACATACCTATACAAGTTATAGCCTCAAAATTAATCTTGAAAAGACTTTAGACCTAACTTTTAAGTTAGATTTGTTGAAACTGAAGCTATTTGTGCAAGTTCTAAATTGTGAACAGTGTATCAGTTTACATCATATTTCCCCATTTCTTTGTCTTGTTGGGGAGAATTATACAAAATATAGCAGATTCACAAGCATTGACCACTCATAAACTTCAGCACAACATATGTATCTACACATCCCTACCGATCTTCACAGGTTCCATCCTTATAGGACGTTTTTTATATACCACCTGGTGACCACCTTCTTACCTATCCTGGCAGCCTTGTTTCTTCTGTCTACACTAAATTACACACACATGCCCTTAAACATGCATGCGCACACACACACACACACTGCATCTTTTCACGACATCACTCTTACCTGGTGGCCTTGTCCGAGGGTGTGCTTCCACTGTCCACACTGCCTTCCTCGGACTCCACTGACCCATAACTCCGTGCCTTGGCCTCTCTCTGGTGCATCTCTGCCCACTGAACATGACCCTCCTGGGTCGCTCTCCGTTTCAAATCCTCCAGGTATTTTTTCTGATCTTCTATGAATTTGGCCCCTAAAGTGAGGTATTTATTGCCTGGCTGATCATTTCCTTGAATTATCAACTTGTTTGTGGTACTACATGCTTCACAATGTTTGCACAATATATAATAAATATACTGTTTAGAAGGATCTTACATGGTGACAAATCTGACCACCAATCCAATTAATCCAATTTCCTGCACTTATTAATCAACACAGAGATTAACACTTGCCTTTTATTAGTAAAATAATTTTTGATAACATTATTACGCTCCTAAAATTATCATTACTAATTATATAATGCAGTTGACATTTCCACTTTTCACCTCAAAGTTTTATCGTGTAATCCCTTCCTTTCACACCTCTGTGCCAAGAGCGCTGTTGAACAAGGGAATAATCTTGATATCAGCGAACACCTCAGATATTTCCTGTCAATTTATTAGTTTACCTTTGTCGTCACTGAGATATGTCTTTGCCAACTTGTCACTTAGCTCCATGGTCATCTCGTTGGTGGGCGTCTTTAGTTCCTCCTCTTGAAGTCGTCTGAAGAACTCCTCATTCACTTTCATCTGAAACAATGCGACATTAGTTGAATATAAACTAGAAACAATTATAAGCATTGCATACATTTAACAGAAATCTTTTACTGAAAATGTATTTCTTAACAAGAGTCATCATCTAAACAGTACAAACTGAATACATTTCACAATGTTCAACCAAAAACTTGTTTGTAGATTACATAACATACTTTCATATATTTCAACTTGAAACACATTTTACATTGCCAGACTGTCACCATTTTAGGACTGAGAAAATTTTTTTGCTCGCCATGTGTAAATGTCCAGTTTCACTAAAAAACCACCACCACAAAACTATGTCAATGAATATTAAAATATTTAAGTCTTCAGTTATTAGAATTCTCTTTCTTACCATGGCAGTCAGTTAAACGGCATGTCCCTTTCAATGACTCTTTTACCTTTTTGTAAGTCTTTTACAGAAGTGCGTAAAACAAATCTTATCCATCACCAGACTTCAGACGCTTAATCATTTCCATAAAGATCAAAAAATGACACAGACAGGACTGACCTCGGAGTTATAAAGTCTACAATCTACCCATGAACCTGGTTTGATTTATTAATCAAAATAAAACATGACTCAGGCACTTTCAATACAGTGTCAACTCTCCCCTTTGTGGCACTGTTTCTGATTTGCGGTCAGGAATGCAGACGTAACCCTATCTCCCGGGGTCCTGATACAGCTCATACACAAAGAATGTATAGCCAATGTTCTCCAATCAAAACAGAATGACTCCTTAATGTTGGTGTGAACAATTCGCCAGACTTTCACCTATACAACAGCACAGGTAAACAGTGAATACTATATCTCTTATGTTATTGGTGTTAGTGACAGGGAACCCCTCTACCTTTAAACCCACCTATCCATCTGTGAGAAACTTAGGTCTGTTGCTACAGTGTGTGTGTGTGTGTGTGTGTGTGTGTGTGTGTGTGTGTGTGTGTGTGCGTGTGCATGTGAGTGTGTGAGTGTGCATACGTGTGTATTCATAGCAAAGTGGCAAAAAATAAAGTAAAACAAGAAAAACAGGATTAAAGCATTAAAAAGCTTCAGGAATTAACAGCAATTAGAGGTACAAATCTTGTGAAAAAAATTCACCAGTTTACCTCATATTCTGTATCTGAAGATTTGGCACTTGCTGAGCTGGTATCACCAGGCGGAGATGTGGAGTTGTTACGGGACAGCTCTCGGATCTTTCTGTCAATGGTCGAGAGTGTGGCCTTCTCCTTCAAATAACATTAGGAAAACGTAATAAAATTGTGGTAAACTCAAACAGGGTAAACCCATTTCAAGCTCACTGTTTGATCAAGTGTAAGCATTAAACAATCATCCCATCTTACCTGTTTCCTTGCAAAGAACTTGTTAGGATTAAACATCAAAAGTATTTTAAAATGGAAAAATATTCTAAACCTTGACAAGGCTTTTTTTTTGGTCCATTTATCTATTTCATCAAATTTTAGTTTGAAATTTTGTCATTAAAAATGCTGCATGATACCTTTTCTTGACTTATTAACATGATAATTTTTTTCTTTCTCTACTTACCGAAACACCCAGTTATTTTCCAAATGTACATGTACAAAGACCATTTTTTGAATCATTGACAAAAATATACAAGAATCAGCTGGCTTTCTCTCAATACTGGCCGACAGCTCTAAAGAAAGGTCTACTCTGAATCAAGTTATGATCTAGGCCTTTGTCATCCAAGGGGGCAAAAGATCCACATTTTCAGTAGCTAGTACCCCCCCCCCCCCCCCCTTGAATCTGCTCACTACAGAGTTGACATACCTTTCTAAACTCTTCCACCAGTTTCTGTCGTTCTGTCTCCAAACCTTCTATGTCCACTTTGACTTGTTTCAGCATATCCCTCTGCTGCTTGTCAATCTGGTGGAGCCTCTCCTACAAAAACACAAGTGAGTTCATTCCTTAGATACATGGTTTGTTCTTTAAATGTTGCCATCGAAAAGACTTTTCAGACCTAGCTCAGCTTTTCAGATAAAATAAATGACTGGCTGGCATCAACTGATAGCTTAACTACTTGTACATGTACATATATATTTATAAATACATATGCCACTGCTCAATAAGAAGTTCAATGACCGAATGAAAAAAATATAAATACATTTTCATAGTGTCCCAGTCCTGCAGATACTACTGGCAGCTTCCCCTCTATTGCAACCCAAGTCTCTGTTAATTTTACAGTCCATGTAATTTCATTTTAGAGGTAACATAAGACAAACATGCCAGTCTATTGTTGTCACCTGTCCTTAACTTCTCCCCCTAACCTAACATTAGTCTCCCCCAGTCACTTGTATGGTCTCCAATCATATTAGTTGGTATTGTTATCTGGGGTCATCTATTAGCCCTATTGTTGTCCTATCTTCTACTACCAGTCCAATTAGTTAGCTGGCTTGCCTTTAAGGACAATTAAGGACAAGTTTTTGAATGGCGTTTACACACAGGTAGTAAAGTCTGATTCACAAAAGGGGTTTAAAACCCCCAAAAATGGTTTAAACTTTCAGACCAAATTGCTTGTCTTGCTGACCCAAAATTAACTAAATGATATATTGTGCACAACAAGTAAGACATAGCTAATGTTTTAGACCAAAACTTGTTTAAATAAAGTGTTAAACTATGGATTTATCTTGATATAAACAGACTGAATTTTTTTGTCTAAAATTTTAGGCAAATTTTCTCTCTAAAATTCATTTTTGAGGCTGGTCCCTGGTATATATATATATATATATATATATATATATATATATATATAAAGAAATAATAGAAACAGTGCCATCTGATTATGGAAAACTTCTTCTGAATTGACACTGTGAGCAACTAATAAACAAAACAAAACACCTACCATCTAAACAAAACTTTAAGATACCTGCATGCAGTGTTTGCCTCTTAGGAAAATAAGTTGATGGACCGAAAGCTCAGCCATCTTGGAAATTAGCTGGCTAGAATGTCTGGCGGGTGGGAAAACCTCTCTGCCCGTTCTGAAAGTTGTCTGCCCCGGGCAGACGGTCCAGCCTTAATTTCTAACACTGCTTGCATGTATCACCCACTCCTAGACCCATGAAATTCAAACCCAAGAAACAGCAAAAATGTGCAATTACTTAACAATAAACTTATAAAACTTGAGCACAAAGAACCAGTATATTTACCACCAGCAGTAGCAGTCTTTGTGTCCCTGCCGTCGTCACAGAGAGACATTACATAAGGTGCTCTAATGTGCAGCTCTCTATTTGAGCACAAAGACTTATTTCCATGGGGGAATGACAGAAGGCTACGTGATTGGATTATCTTTGATAAAACTGAGCAAAATGTCATTTGAAAGAAGGCTATCTCACTGGGGAGGGTAAAGCATGACTTATGGATCTTCCCAAACACATGGAGAATATTCATATCTATTTTTTAATGAGTTGTTTCTTCCGAAATTGACTCTGGGAAATAATGACAGCTCAATATTTCCCCAACTTCATTTCTATCGGCACATCTGTAAATGTCCTAACTCCTAAGTAATAAACAGTTAATTTTTTTTGGTTTAAAGAAAAATATAAAAGATATTTTCCCATGAAATCTATTTTTCATCCTTGTTTGGCAAAACATTCTAAAAAACAGTTAATTTTTTGGTTTAAAGAAAATATTATAACAGATATTTTCCCACGGCATCCACTTTTCTTCCCCTCCCCCCTCCCTCTTAGGCCATGTTCTATGGCCATCCATTACAGCATCAAATACAGTGCCATATGGAACATTACTTCCATCATAATAAGATTGCTGTTGATGAGACTACATCACAATGTCACATCTGGGGCCAAACTACTGCAATCAGAGGCCCTGGCTCTGCATAACTCTGCCCAGTTCTACAATATCCATGCTCTGGGTCCCTTATCACCTTAGGCTCAACATAACTGGACATGTGAAACTAAATGATCTCTTTTCAATTCATCAAAATGAGAACTATTTCTTATCACTTTCCACCATAGATTTGTCTCAATTTTCTTCGAAATGGGCATAAATGGAAATCATATAAATTGAAGATTAGGAGTGAATTACTATAATTACCCAAATCATAAAATAAAGTTAATCAAATGAGAAAAGACGATAAAGAGCTCAGAAAACAAAAGCTAATTGAGCTTTGTCTGTTGGCAAATTAGTATTCTGCACTGTACTCAGAGGTCTTATTATGTATTAACCGAAGAAGACATTGATGGAACGGATGATATTGATGGATGATATTGATGGATTGAGAAGCATGCACTGAAATGGTTCTTTTTTACTTCTTTAAATCTATTTTATACAAACTTTCTTTTAGGATTATTTTACATTTTGATATGCACAATTATACAGCAGATGATATGATCAGTTAAAACTGTATACTGTATTTTGAAATATAACTTCAGATCATCATGCAATTACTTATGGTGTAGGCTACGTGTACAGTGGTCAAGTAACAATGACTTTCTCAACTAGTCTTGTGAAAATCTTTACAGAGCTGTACATGTATCAAATCAACCCAACTCACTGGCATGTGTATCCAGCAAAACACGCAATTTCAGAGAATTCAAGCTATCTAATGATACCTACCAATTAGAGTAACATGGTTCTCAGAAAATCACAAGTTATCTGTAAATATAACACAATTCACTACTGCTATAAAAACAGAGTCAATCAACTTCCCAGAATGTTATCAGATCATTTATACCAAGCTGTTTCTAATTATCCCCATGTATCTTAGTTGGAAAACACGATAATCAAATTACAGTGTAGCTAATGGGATATCTTCAGTTATTTTTGTTTTTTAATACAGACTACAGTTAAAATAGGATAAGGTTCTGGCAGAAGACAGAGATCAATTCCAAATTTGGGAGATTGTGTCCCTTTAACACATTTATCTTTTATTCTTTATATTAATTATATTATTTATCAAATTTTATGAAAAACAGTATTAAAATATAAAATTTTATGAAAAACGCTATTAAAATATGTCTTCCATTGCCAAAGCTATTTTCTATAAATTCTACTTGATTATTCCCCTTACACTGGAGGGGATATAATTTGGGGCAGTGAGTGGATTAAAGAATGTAGAGATCTTCTTAACTAAGAAAATAATTTCGAAGCATAGTCACCTGTATTTATGCAATAGACAACCAGGTAAGCTTAGCGGGAATTCTTACATACAATTTTCGTCGCTCTCTCTGTCTAACGAGTACTAGATGAACCTAAACATTATGTAACCTCTTTCACAGTCATGTTTTAATAATTACTACTACCAATGTTAAGGAAAAAAAAAACTTTCTGTCAGGAAAAGGTCTATTCTGGATAAAATTTTATCTTCTTTGTAAAAGAACCAATTTTCAGAAAAAGAGCCCCCCTTTTGAATTTGCTGACTATGGGTCGAGAATAATGAAATATCCATTCAAAGGCTCTCTACTGTTATGGAGCTCGCCTATCCAAGAATGTTGAAATATTTATTCAATTTCCTTAGTCAAATCTCAATAGTCAAAATATCAACATGAAATGGATGAATGTAAAAGTAAATCCATAACATCACTGATAATATTCGAAAAAATACAAAATTGCACTGAATGATAAAAAACTTGTATGTACTTTTACAGGTGCATTATCGGGATCAAAAAGAGCCCATGGCATGCACTGATAAGGCCAAGAAGTATTTCCTCTGATGTAATTTATGCAAAAGGAAAAACATGCATAAAAAAGTGGGGACAGAAGTTGTCTGAAAAACGAGAACATCTTACCTTTTCCTCTCGAATGAACACAAATATGTCCATCTCCTTCATGTTAGAAGTCTCCAAAGTCAAGACTCAAGTTCTCCAAGTTTCAACTTCCACAATAAAGGAATTAAATTTTTTAAAAGCAAAATCTCCGACCAGTCTATAATCCACAATACCCACTTCGCAATAAATGCTGAGACATGTACCTAACCCTTGGGCTGAGGTCACATACAAATTCCTTACATCAAAAGTCTCATCTCTTTTTTCTTTCTTCTCTGTACTTGAAACCTGCTGTTAGAACTTCTCAAGATATCAGTGTACAAGTTGTAGTCCCAGGTATTTTACAAACCAGTTTGTTTTTTGTCTGTCCCAGCAATTTCCTTCACTAAGGGTATCTTATGTCACATGTTTTTACTGTGGATATGACCTGTCACCCATGTCAGGTTTCGGAACTTTTCACTGACCCGCAATGCACTCAAGTAGCTTAACCTTGGGGACTGTTACTGATGATGTGGGAAATGCATCATTTATGTCATGAAAATATGTGTCCTTCCATCCACTTATTCTCCCTGCATCAACACAAATTGGCAAAGTTTGTAAAAAGTTCACAGAACAATTGCTGATATGTACTTCTGTTGTAATTTCACAATAATGGAGGAGCAGGTAAAACACAGAAATATGCTATTCCTTTTCTTTTGGATTAAGCTTTCTTTTACATTAAAATGCACCCTGTCAGTGACCTTAATTGCTACTGACTTGTATGCCCACTACTGACGGCTCTGTGGCTTGTTCTACAAGTTTTTCAATTATCATCAAGTCTTGGAGCACCAGCTGATCCTGTGGTGCCACATTTTCCTCCGACTGGTTTCAAGACATGAACTTGTGTGTGGTTACCCCAATACAGTCTAGAACGACTCCTTCCTGACAACCAGTTGTGTCACAGATATCTCTTACCACAGTACGGCCAGCTTAAGACCACAAATATCTCCCAAAATATGGTGGTGCTTCACAGGTGTTAGTGTCACCTGAGCAAATAAACACCTGACGCTGTTAGGCTTTGTTTGTGTCTCATGACAGAGCTTTTTACAACTAGATCAAAGTTCACTTTTTGTTATTTTTTTTTCTTTTGCTTGTGGGCAAAGTCACAGGCATTCCTGATCAATTGCCCCTGTCCAATTTACACTTTTCTATATTTAGCATCTGCTCCTTCAGGATATAAACAGTACAGATTATATTTGTCCACTCAATTAATGTTGACCTTTATCTAAATCCAATTATGACACACAGAGAATTGAGTTTATACAGTCCTGAACTTCCCATGTATAAACAATCTTCCTATTAGGCCTTACACCAATGTAAAAAAATTCTCATTTGCAGAGATTCCTATTAAGTCAGTGGTGATATCAATTCGCTGGCAAGTTCTATCATATTTCTCCTTTTAAACTCACATTGCCCCAGGCCATATTTTATAACAATGATGGGAGTTTTGGAATTTTTATAAATCCTCCGTAATCCTGTTTTACCAGTTTAACAACACAAGGTGTGCTGATGTTTCATATCTCCTTGTCCACATACCATGAGATACTCCACATATGTAAAAATGTCAACAAATGTTGTGTTGTTTAGTTAACACAGTAACCAGGGTTGAAAATTTTCAGAATTGTAACACCTGTCTACCTGTTGATTTAAACACCTGACCAATGAATTATTTCAGGAACTGTTAGCGTTTTAAAAATCCGTTAAAAATAAAGGAAAAAAAAAATCATGCATGTGCTCAGAGATGACTGATGTTGAACCACCTGGATGACCAGTCTATTGGTCAAAACTGACCTCTAGGCAGTGTTGGAATGTCCACCTATTCAAGATATGCTCATTACAGCTTGGCATAAATTCACACATGTCTTTTCCAAAGCACTGGTTTCGTATCACAGATCAGCTATTCAACAAATATTTTAACCATGTCCACTCTTCTCTGTGTGGTCAATGTTGACCATTGAATTCCCACCTGTGGTATGCTGAGATTGTACTAGATTCTACTATGTGTACTGTGCATTTATATATATATATATACACAGTACCACCAGGTGCTTCCAAGAAATGTCACCAAACCATCTGTGCTGGGGACATTTTCTGTATGCTTTTATGCACAAATATGGCTTGCAGGGTCACACTCCTGAATTCCAGAATTTTGAGGAAATCTTGTGCTTCCTTAGGACCTACTGGTAACTGACTGCCATACAACTGGAAACTTAATTCGGTTCCCTTAATTCCTGGAGTTCAAGAAGCTTGCTTGGATAAATCCCTCTCTGAGGGTTTCTTTCCACGAAATTATTTTTCGTTGCAATTCTTCATTTCATCCTGAGAAATCCCCCTTGACCCAGTGAAATAATGATTTTCTTTTGATCAAAATTCCACAGGGAACTTTCAGAGAAATTTTTCCTCCCAGTCCAGGATACTGAAGAAATAAATTACGATTAAATTCCCTTCTGATCAATTATCCATCTTGAGCTAGTCTCGTGTTAACTGGACAGCGGCTATTTTCCACTGACCTTTTCTGCTCCACCCTGATCTCATTAAATCTTCTTTTGATTAGTTTTCCAAAGAGCAATCAAGCCCTGCCCAACAAGCATGCCCAGAGCTGACCTCCATCCCCTGGGTTTAAATCATATTCATACCTCTTTTTAAGTTTCTCCCAATCAATTTTCATACAGACCTTTGGCCCAAATGGTCAAGTCTATCTAAAATTTCATCTGACCAGAGGCCACTCATTCTATTAATCACTTTACTCAGTACAATAAGGTCTCAGGACCAATTTCTTTAGTACATATCTCAAAATTTTCAGTTATACATATTCTATATTACAACAACACAAATACAGGACCCCTGGAGAGCATTATCAACAGCATTGCTAGTATACAGCATACCTGATCCTACCTAATACAACAGAGCCCCAGACATGGATGGATAACTCAAAATCATTAAGGTGTGGCCTGTTCTTACCTATAGGTTAAGGTAATTAGTTCTGGTCTCACCTTTGACTAAGTATGATTAAACCCAGTTCAAAGCCCTATAATCCCCTGCACTACTATGTGTGTGCTTTGTTGAACTGGCCAGAGGTTAATTGGATTGGAAAGTAATGAGCGTAATGATAATCCCAGGTTTCTGGACAATGAGAACAAGATAGAGAACTATCGTGGTTCGCTCAAATTTAACTGCATTTGGAACTTTCTAGTTACAAAATGTTTATAAGTCAGCATTTTCATTTTGAATTTTCTTCATTGAAAAGTCCTTTTTTAATTGAAAAAATCTATTACATACAAGGTGAATGTCAAGGTGAAATAAAATATCAATAACTCATTATGGTAAGGATTCTTGAAAATAAGTTTGTATTGAAAAAATATTCCATATTCTGTGAGACTTGAAAAATGCGCCTTTTTCTTCAAGTTCTAGGAACCATGAACAACAATAGCCACACCCACTTCATTTGATTTGCTTTAACCATTTATTATACATCTATTCTTCACTTTTCTGCCCATTAACCTTTACATAAAAATATTCTGCCTCATAATTACTTGTCATTTCTGTCCCTGTCATTATCTGTAATCATGAACAACAGCTTGTCAACAGCTGAGATGGACAAACATGTGTCAAGTTAAAATTCAACCCACACATTTTTCAAATAAAACATCTCCGAGTAAATCCTTAAAAAAAAAAAAAAATTTGAAATATGCCCCTGTGGAGTGTGATACTCCTACCACCTTAGTTTTTTTTTATTTCATCAGCAGTCAAAAAGAAGATCAGGAAAATAGAAGAGGAGAAGGAGAGGAAAAAGCAGGAGAAAAAAAAAAAAGAAAAAAATCTATTCCTGTAGAGTCAGCTCTACCTACCTCTCTTGCCTTGTATTTCCCCAGCAGTTGGTTCTGTTCCTGCAGTAGCTGCTGCTGGACCACCTCTCTCTCTTCCTCGTACCTCGTCTCTACCTGAGAATACATCAACTCCTCGTTACCGCCACACCTTGCTAAGACACCACCAGCCGAGGCTGACATAACTTATTTCATAACACCACCGAGGAAACCTTATTTTGACACTATACTAATACTTCTGATATAATGTGTTTCGAATGTACTTGATAATACCATGCTTTATTTTGATATAATATTAACATAAATGTATTGGGAGTAAATCTCTCACAGTATCGCGCTTTGATGCACAGAGAGTGTGCTAAAACCAGCAATTACTTTTATTTTACATCTCAAATTATACTTCACTTTGTTTTGCCATATCATATTTGTATGTAATCAGATGGCCTAGTAGCACCCTAGCTGAAACTGATGTGACATTAAAGCTATCAGAAGCCTCTTCAGTAGTAGCACACTTGAACTTTATGTAATACTGATGCCCCTAATAACACAGTACTGTACAGGGGCAGATTTAGGCCGTCTTCTGGGTCTTCCGGAAGACGGTCAGATTTTCAAGTTTACATTGAAGGGTATCTAATTTTTTCTGTCGGAAGACGGTCAAAAATGGAAAATGGATAACCAAATATAATATGGAAGACTGTCAGGAAATATTTCTGGATCCGCCCCTGCTGTACTTGAATATGGAATAATCCTAATGCAACCAAAGCTCTTGATAATATCATATATAAATGAAGTGTAGAATGCTCAGGTCTTTGGATTTCCTTTGTGATATACCAGATTAGAACTAGATTGAATATTGATGTCTCAACAGGATCCATTTTTGCTACATTGAGTGTCACATTAATGGAATGATATATATATTTGTGGAAATTTATACTAACAAAACTGTGTGGATTAGTCATGAGCTCATATCTTATAATTTTTGTATCTATTATTTTGAAATAATGCAAAGGAAGTCCAGTAACAGATTAAAAATCTTTATTCATATAAAGCAACAGCATTCTGAAAGTCTATACCATGAAAATGTTATTCTAACTTATTTTCTCCACAAAAGGAAAGTGTGGAAATAAAACTAAAATCATGTTATAACTTTCTTAAAATTTATTCAAATCAGGAGTTTTGTCAGAGGAAAAATGAGATATCTTTGTATCGTGTATACATTAAATTAAGCCACTTACCTCCAGTTGCTGAAATTCTAAATCATCGAAGATTTTACGCTGGTTTTCTATTGCATCCTGATACTTTTGAAGCTCATCCAGTAGCAGAGGTTCTTCCTCCCGCGAGCAGCATTCAAGTTGTTGCTCTACCTCATAGTGCTTATGTTCTAGCTCGCGCAGCTTGTGACGCTCGGCGTCCATCTTTTCTTGTTCCTGGAAAATAACAGGTAGGTGGCTACTGTGGCTTGTCATGATGAAAAAATTCGAGACGATAAACCAGTCATTGCATCCCATCCAAATCTCATGCTCGTTAGTAAAGTACTGCCTCTATGTTAAACCTCAGATGTTTATTACACAAATAACTCGCTTAGTGCCAACAAAAACACTGCTGTATTATAACATGTTTATTCCTGAGGTAGTAGTAATTAAATCTTGGGAATTTTTCCTGATATACAGATCCATCTTTGGATGGCTAGAAGACACACTGCCCCCAACTAATGCACTGTGCAAAGCCTCACAATGGCATGTTCACACCTGAACTGATTTGAACCGATGATAAGAATCCAACTCATGTCACAAGATTACCACCAAGGCTGGTATTACAAAGCATTTGTTACTTGGTGACTTCTTGGTTTGAAATTCTGTAGTTTTTTTCGCCATACAAGTAAACAGGAAATGTAGCAAACTACAGCAAATAGTTAGTCTCTTGAACTTATGGTGGCACAGTGGACACTGGTCCAAAATGCTGCCCACGGGGTTTGAAATTCAAAGGCACAATGTGGGGATTCTGTAATCTGGTCAGAGTAGTTCTCAGTGTGAACACATCTTCAGGAAGAAACTGGTGGTTGTGCAAACAACAAGTGCAGTGCAGTAAGTAATACAAGTGACTAAAGTGTGTGATCAAATTATACGGTCTTTTATATTTTTTTAAAGAAAGGGCATTCTGGCAGTGACCAAAATACAAGCCATTCAATCTAGTTTTTAATTTAGCTGTAATTTTTCATAAATATGAATCTATGAGCCAAAGTTGTGAAAATTTGTGAAAGTCATTAAAATATCTAATTTTCTTTGCTATAGTAAAACCATCATTTAAATTCTAAAATGTTAGCTTAAGCCTATACAATAAATGGGACGGAGATCGGAGGCCCATTTACAAGTACGACTTGACTGCTTGACTCAGCATTGTATCATTTCTAATCATGCCCACCCTAAACAAACATTTTTGTATTATATCTATTTTCTATTCAATGTTTTCTTACGGAGTGCAAATAATGTGGAAGTGAACTGCCTCCTTTTCTTCTTTTAATGTATTGAATAAACATTGTTTAAAAAAATCACCACCCTGAGCAAATTTAAATTTGATGTCAATGATGTGTGGGGCAGTAGAGGGATTGGTCTGGCTTTACGTGGTTAGAAATCCACCGATAGTAGGAAAAATCTCATCTCTGTGTATCATTCCAAAGGTAAGAAATACCTAGTGCCGAGTTGCAACAATAACAACTAACAGATAAGAAACACTGCCACAGATAACTACACAATCAAATTTTACACAAATTGTTACAGCCACACTGGAATAGAAATACAGAATCAAGTTACAAAAGTGTTGACGATGCAAAAAGCCATACAATGAAACACACAACAACTTTGTTGGGTCTTGTAAACATTGCCAGCAAAAAACACCTGGTGACATGTAGGCTTAAGCCTGTGCGACTGTGCTTTAAGTACTCAATCTACAGAAGTGTTTACATCAGGTCTAACAAGTACCAAGTATCTAAAAATAGTCTAAGCCATGTCAAAAGATGACAAGCTTGCATAATCACTTGAAATTATAGCATGTTTAATATTTTCATAGAAAAAAAAAAACAAAAAAAAAACATGATAATCAAAACTGATAAGAAAATTATGATCTATTAACCTTTTTAAAGTTCTAAACTCCTAGTTATACCATGATGCGTAAAACTCACTATACTAATCTCCATCTCCAAAAATAGGAAACTTAGAACTCATAATCAGGTTTACAGATCATAAACTTTGTCAACAGTTTTGGGCGTGGTATACCCTGATGATCACAAGAAGATAATTTACAATATAAAATATTAAATCAATCCTGGTATAAACACATCTGCAGGGGTTTGCTGTCAGTGCAACACTAGAATTCTTTGCTACCAAAGCCACAATCTGTGTGCTGGAACAGGTTTGACTTGCCAATTGCATTGACCAGGGATAAAACTGCCATTTTATAAAAAAGTTTAAAAAAAAATTAGTGTGGGGTCCAGGGGGTTGCCTAGCCCAATAATAATTTAGCGCCCAAAAAGTCAGAAATTTGATGATAGTTGGAAAAATCACATCCCTGAATAATACCGTGGCTTTACCAAGCCGATTTATGTTTGGCTGGATTCAAGGCAAGACCACCAGACTTCAACAAATATTTTGACCAATTTAAGAAATTTAATAGGTGTAAAAGGCAGTAAAGTTGCTTGTGTTATATGACAACCTGTTGAACTGGTATAAGTTAGACTATTTCCCATTGCATGTGATCTTGGTAGAAATGTGTTCCCAGACAGCAGGTGGTTGGAGCCTGTTGAAAAATCACATCACCCAAAGACCAAGGATTAGCAATTCAATGTACATTGACAGAACAGAACCATTAGGTGCCAGTTAAGCATGCAGACACACTCTCCATCCGTGTCACACCTACCAGCTGTGTTGTGAACCGCACTTTTCTTTTCTTTCAGAGAGCAACCAAAAGAAAGAAAAGTAGAGTAACAAACAAACTCTCTGGTAATGGTCAGTTCTAATGAAGGTCTGGGTATCATCTTGGAATGCATGGTAGTTTGGATATGTTAAAATTAATGAGTTGAAATTATGTTCTTTTTTTTTTGTCGGATGTTTAATCTAGAAGTTGCCAGGATCATTGCCTCAAGAAAATACCCAGATTCTGGTGTGAAATAATTCAAGACAAACAAATTAGTTGACTGTTCTCCACAGATGTGATTGATTTTTTAAACTTTTTATTTTGATTGATTAAAAGATGTTATCCTTAATTTCTCTTTTTTTTTTTTGAAAAAAATCTGACAAATGTCAAATCTTAAAAATAAGATTTATATGGTATAACATCAAAAATAAATATCAACCTGATAATGACCAAAAATATTAACACACAAAGAATGTCTCCAACATGTGGAAAACATGCAGCCATCTTGAAGCTTTAGACTATTACTCAAGTTAGTATAAAAGCTAAAAATATATGTTCAAAAGTGACCATTATCTACTTGTCTACAACTAAAGTGAGTATCTTTCTACTATAATTCTACTGATTCTTCTGTTTATGTGACTTACTTGTATTCTATTTAGTCTGCTGAATGCAATATATAACAAACAAGAGTTGGTGATCCCCGTCTATTCTTACCCGCTCTTTCTCAGCAGTGGCGCGCTCTATGAGCTCCAATTGTTTCTGTTTGAGACTGTTAATGCGATCCTGCTCTCGCTGAAGTTGCACCATTTCCGTCTGATGTTCTCCTTCTAGCAGTGCCCGCTCCATCTCAAGCTTAACGAGACATCAGATATATTTAGGATCAGATCTTTACCCTTGCCACTTTTGCTTTTTGTTAAAATAAGAAATTAATGGCCTTTAAGGAAGAACCTTTGGCCTGCTGGTTTAGTAATTTTCTGATCAGAACATCTTGATGACCAGTAAAAAGAAATGAAACTGATTAAGATTTTGATTGTATCATTCAAAATTATATTGCTTATCTTAATTCATAATAATACAAGCATATCTGAATGACAGGCGTATTGGGTTCACCTCTCTTATGGCTTCATTCTGTTGCCCCTCAATGTCCACTATCTTCTGCTTGAGATCTGTGATGGTATTCACGGCATCCACACGCATCTTCTTCAACTTCTCCAGCTGGATTCTTCTGTCATTTTCCTGGAGTCAAACAAATGTAATCTTGTTACTATTTAATTCAGGAAGTTTCACTTTCTCAATAATTTATAAACATTTGGACTGCTTTTATCCCATTCACACTCTCTAACTGCAGGAAACTCGGAAGACCAAGCTTTGAAATACTAATAAGGGGAAGGAGTTCCAAGATAAGTGTACATTCGAGTAAAGCCAAGTTCATTAAGCTTCAACTAAATTAATACAAAAGATCAATTTACCTTTACACTAAGACTAAAATTTTGGCCTTCAAATGTACACCAGTTATTGACATAAAGTGCTTTAAATTTCAATATTGTGAAAAAGGCCAACACTTCTTCCTCATATTCCAATAGTTTCACTAGACTAGTCCCAGTTCAAGTTTTACCTCTGATGTAGCTAGACTGTGGTCACTAGAGGTCTCCACTCCACTGGAGGACTTCACACCAATGCTCTGATCACTGGCTGGAGAAGCCTGCTCTGTCACTGAAAGTCAGAGCAAAGATATTTAAATTTTGCATTTCAAATTATAGCAGTATTTCTTTATTCCTAAAAAAGTTTTATTTGTTACAGGAATGCTGGACAATGTGATGCCTTTTTTCTCAATACAAAGTATTATTTGTCACAAAGCTTTTGTCTGATGTTTTTCAACTAACAAAAGAGTCAAGCCAAAATGCTGCCACGACACAACAGAACATTACATGATCCTTCACTTTGAACTTCATAAACAAGATCTTTATTGAAGAATTGACTTACATAATATAACTGCATAAATCCAGTTGTGTTTAAAGTAAACAAAAAAATTCAAAATCCAGTTTTTAAAAATTAACAATAATTGTGTGTTAAACGAAAGCCAAAGGCTCTATTCCCATAGATTTTAGATCGATCTATCCCCGCGGGGAGTCTCACTAGATTACTTTCAGATAATCCGACTTAAATGTCCGTCCCGCCTACTACAAGCTGTAAAGGGGGTAATTAACTTTCGTGTCCGCCCGGCTGACAGCTATTTAGCGTGAACCCCCAGGGAGTTAGGTCGATCTAAAGTAGGTCGATCTAATCTATGGAAATGGGGTGAAATACTCACCAGATTCTTTGGCACTTTCCACATCTTTAAGCTGCACACTTAAAGACTCCACATGAGCATGTTCCACTTCATCACCATCTTCCTCCTCCTCCCGCGACGTCTCCGCCTCTGTTATTAATCTCTGTGTAACATTCTGCTTAACACATTCAAATATATCCACCTCCTCCTCCTCAACAGCGCTGTCCTTGACCTGACCCGCCTCTGGGGAGGCTGCCGTGGGAGTCCTAGGATCCTCCTCAGGGTCTCTCTCGGCCACATAATCGTAATCCACATTGTCATATTTCTCCTGATTGGTCAGACTTGTGGGCACCTTAGGCTTACGTTTGATGGTGCCCGAGTCGACATCGTCCTCTGAAGTGGATGAAGTTGACCTTGACATGACCTTGAAGTCAAAGGCCTGACCTTGACCTGGACTTGATGAGAACTGTCCTTGACCTGTGGTGGGTGACGAGAGTTTTTGCACTGATGAGGTGGGGGAGGACAGTAAGGATCCGTTGGTCTTGATACGTTTTCTCTCCAACGAGTTAGCAGAGCCATCACTTAACTGTTCAAAGTACAGAGAACTAGGTGGAGTAGGAGTGGAGTAAGGGGGGCCATCTTTGCTACCACCTTTTTCCTTCTCCAGCTGCCTCTCATACTCTGCACACATACTGAGAATATCCTCAAGTCTTTGCCGCTCAAACTTCTCCTGGGCTTGCTCTTTCACCCTCTCCTCCTTCATCTGTTTGTGTTTCAGCGACAGCTCCAACTGACTCTCCGTCAGCTCACTGATGTCACTGATATCACTGAACACACTGTCCCGGTTCTCTGAGAGCCGTGCCATATCCTGGAGGTAGTTATCAGGCATCGTACTGGTACTGCCCCATATTGAAGTGTCCGTACTCACAATACTGGCCACAGAATTCTGCTTGGCACCGACTGTACCTCGACTACGCATGACGTGTTCCTCGGACTTTACAGTATCGTTACTTTGACTAGAGCTGGCACTGCTGACACTGGTGAAAGAACTGGAACTAGCAGTACTGGCCATGCTTCCAATTCTGTCTGCTGTATTGTTATCTAAAGACACTCTTGTGGTGGACGTCTGTTTCGTGAACACTTTCTCCCCCATGTGTTGTTGATAGATATTTGGTGGTGAACCAGAAGTGTTTAGATAGGTATATTTCTGAATACCTTTTACATGCGGTGGTGCTTTGTTTGCCATACTGTGTGTTAGTGCTTCAAAACGGCTTATTTTTGACACAAAATTTTCCTTTTCTAAATTATCTCGATGGTTAAAAATAGTTTCATCTGAGTTTCCTTCAGCAGCTTGCGGTGTTTGATTTAGATCATTCCTTCCTTCCAATAAAGATGAATCTTTCCAACCTCCAGGTGAAGAAGAATAACCCTCATGAAACGTAGTATACGTCCCACTATTATGCGCAGGACTGTAACTCAAATTATTCCTACCTCCAGGTGATGAAGAGTAACTGAGATTATTCTGACCTCCTGGACCATAAGAGTTTCCTGATGATTTCTGAATATTATGTAAACCTTGTCCATAAGATTGCTCAGTTCTGCTCTGGCTCTGTACACTGTGTTGTATTTGATCCAATGTAGGCATGCGGTTGTTCTCTGCCAAATTCTTGTAATAGTCTGGATTGGATTCTAGTCCTAAACACAGAAACAAAAGAAGCATACCTTTATATCAGCATTGCAGAACTGCAGATTTTGTGTCAGTGTTGCAGTATATTAGGTTTTACAGTGTGGCAGTTGTGGCAGGGTGATAGATGTCTCCGTTTGTAAGTTTGACTGCGTGTTGGTTGTGCCAGTGTGTTAGATGGGATACTGTCTTATGTGACATTATGTTCAGTACTTAACATCAAATTGAGTTTCTCCATTGCGTTAGCTGTGCTCTAACATTGTGTTTTACTTACCTGGCAGGAATCCTATAGGAGCCATAGATATCCTTGGATTGGGAAGAGCATTTTTCATGCGTATTGCCTCTTGAGGATGATTGAAACGAAAGTAATTTGAACGCCCCAGACACAGCATACACCCTGTAAAAAGAGAGCACAAATTCAAAGTACAGTGTCGATCTTGGTATTTGAAATTTTATGGAAATATCGGTTTTGATAACAGCCTGTGACTGATAGGTATTCTGTCTAACTCACAGTATGTTTAAACTAAGTGCTGACAAATCTTGTCATATTTCTGCATCTGTTCACACATAGAACCAACTCATACAGGAATAAACTTCACCAGTGTCTTTAGAATTTTTCATTGGGCTCATTACATAGGATCACAGTGCCATAGTTTTCACAACATTGTATTCAACAGGGATGAGACTGCCATTTCATGAAAAAGTCAGAAAATATGGCATGGGGTGTGGGGAGCTGCCTAGCCCAATAATATTTTTGGCTCCCAAAAAGTCGGAAAATCAGAAAAAATCTCATCCCAGATTCCACAAATCAAGAGTATCCAGGCTTTATTTGCTTGAACAAACATCTTACCCTGTGATAAAATGGTGGGTCTGTTCACCTTGAGTCCGTCCACTGAGCACAGGTCTGCACCAGGGTACAGCGTCACCAGGCCGTTACAGTTCTCTACAGTACAGTGGTCTGCCTCACAGCCTGTGCCTTGGATCACAATATCATTGTTCTCTGCTGTACCAATACTGGTCACACCTAACACAATGGAGCAATAAATACTGGTCACACCTAACACAATGGAGCTAATACAACATAACAAAACATGTCACAGGTAGCACAACATAGCACTATATCCGTCACAGCTTACACAATTTCACAATATATTTGTCCCAGCTAACACAATTTAACAATTTATTAGTCACAGAAAACACAATCAAATTCCAAACCAGTCACACCTACCAAAATATACTGAACACTTTCAACCCAAGTGATGATTCACAATCTATTTCTGTCAACATCACTACATAACATATACACATTTTACTTTCACATACAGGAAGGCTAAGCAATTATAATCCTATTAAAAGAGTGCAGTTTTGCCAATGTCAAAGCCACCCTTTTGACACCATTCACTTTTAAACTGTTTCTATCAACATTAGTGTACATACTGGACATTTACAAACTCCTTTATACACAAAGCAAGACTAGATCTTGTGATCCTTGGAATATGACATTTTACCACTAAAACACCCAAGGTCAGCTGAGCTCTGTAGCAGACAGTATGTCAGAGCATATGCTAGATGTAACATATAAGATCAGATGAATCTGTAGCAGAGAGTATGTCAGAGCATATGCTAGCTGTTATATACTTGTGTAAGATCAGATGACTCTGTGGCAGAGAGTATGTAAGAACATATGCTAGCTGTTACATACAAAATCAGCCAACTGTGTTGATGTTCTCCAAGTCAACAAACAGTCCAGACTGCCAGCCACGGGGATAACATTGCCTGCTGAGTCAGCATGTACACATGAAAGCAGGTGCCTGACAGTGACTGCCAGTAGTTACATTGCACTATGATCTGCCAGTTGAGTTGGCATGTGCATATGGAGCAGGTACCCAAGGCTGACGGCCACTATTTATGAGGTGGACCGTTACTACTTGCGTTTCTCTGTAGTCCTGGACATGAAAGAATCTCTTTTTTTTATTTTTCATTTTTGTCCTACTTTTATAGATGCAAAGCAATCCATAAATTGTAATTTTTTTTTTTTTTTTTTGTAGCCAGAGTTTTTTAGAGAAACTTGAACCAGTTTCTGAAAATGGCAGAGAAATGCTGATTTCAGTTTAGTTATTTGGCATATCTGAATCTCTGGGTATTTTTTTTTTTAAACAGACACAGCTTTCTTGAAAGATATTCTGATAATATTAATTGAACTTAATTGAACGTCAGAAGATTTGAAGATATGAGATAGGCAGTTGAATGCAGTGTGTGAAGCTGACTAAAAGCGATTACTTCCTCTATTTTAAGGCTAAATTAATACTATATCAAACTTTGCCTCATTTGATCTTCTAATAATTTTCTTCACAGTTGTTTAAGGACACCGTGAATGTACAAACAGATATATCTTGTCAGCAGGTTGTCAATTTATAAGTTCTGTAAAAAAAATTGATCTTCTTCAAATTATATCACGGTGTCAGGGCCACTGCATCAAGTGTTAATTCCATGATATCACAGCAGTCATATTACAGACAACTCCACTGGTAGAAATCAATAAGAAAAATAACAGGCATTCCACTATTGTAACATTAGATTTACTTGTAGGCGCCCCAAGGAACCCATCCCAATCAATAATTTACACACATGGTTGACCACCATATAATACCCACTGGTACCTTTTGATTATCAGGGTACTAAATGGAAATATTGTGTACCCTGAAAATCTCACTTGAATCAATGATTCATATACAAGTTTGACCATCACAAAAGCCTATGTTTATCAGGGCATGTAATGGGAACCTATGGTACCCCGCGAACCCAAGTTAAGTCAGTGATTATTTATGCACATGGATGACCAAAATGTAATAACATCTGACATCAGGTAGTCAAGATACACACTCAAAAATATCTAACAGAAGAAAAGGCTGCAATATCCTAAGTTCATTTGTATGAATTTAATGTTGACTTTATAAAATAATGTCAAAGCCCCAACTCAAAAGGGGGCTAAGGAAGGAGCCCTAAAATTATCCTCTCCAGCCATGTCCCTAAGTCTGGACACACACTAGAAACTCAGGGTACTACACAGAAAAACCAAGTTCTACCATTGATTCACACACATATATATATAATCACAGTAAAAAGGCTTTGTATCCTGTGGTATCTGGGGTAAAACACTAGAAACTCAGGGTACAGAGAAAAACCAAATTCTACCATTGATTCACACACATGGGTAATCACAGTAAATAGGCCTTATATCCTGTGATATCCGGGGTGTAAAGCTGATAACCCAATGAACCACTGTGAACTATGAAGATAACACAATATTGTCTCTTATGTTGATGTGGGGATTACAATGAGTAGTTCTTCTGGCAGCAAAGTTGTTATTTTTTCATTTCCTGTATGGCTTGTGTCGTGAAAGAGACTCCTATCTTTTGAACTATAAGTGCTCACGTAATTGCCTTAGAGAGCCTTCAAATCTAATATTACTATGTTAAAACCTTATAATGCTAGTAGAAAAAAAATTCAGGAAACCTTAGTACATTGTTTTTCCCTAATGGGATTTTTATAGTGTTTAAAATGCATATCAACTCAAAATGCTTTTATTGCTAACATATGAATCATGAATGCTTATCTTTTATCTAAATGACTACGCCTCAACAAATTATGAAAAAAGCACTCAAATGACACAATATTTTCACTTCCTTTGAATCGAGCAAACACATCTTAGAGACCATTCAGAACTGATCCATGAATCAAATATGGTGGACCCTACATGAAAGAAGAGCAGACTAATCCACTGGTCTTCCTGCCTCCACGCGTGCCATCCTTGCGGGGGTCTAGCAATCAAACCTAAGAGCCATGATTTAATCTGTTTAACGGAACATGTGGAGGCGGAGAGACCATCAGCGGATTAGTTGTCTTTTTCTTTCATGTAGGGTCCGCCATATTTGATCTGTGTAACAGTAGATCCTCGGATCTTCCGTTCTGAATGGCCCCTTAGCCATTTGTAGATAATCTCATAATACATGTTACACATGGTCTCCTTTCAAAATATCAAAACTTCAAGGGGTGAGATTTTTTAATATAAAATTGATCATTCAATAAAAGAATGATGAGCAAAGTGTTCACTTGTCTATTGATCATTTTTCAGTGAAGATGTTCCTTATAATAACCATTAAATACCACTGTTAGTCATCTAAGAATTCCTAGAAATGAACCATGGGTTGTTGGTCTTTGTAGATATTTATGGTTATACTTTGAAGTATAGAACATTGACTCATACCATGTTATCAATCATATTTCTTTTTTTCATTAGAATGAACATCAAGAATGGGTAAAAATGATCATGCGTGTGCACATGTAAACACATACAAAAAAAAAAAAAATGCCCGCAAAATGTATTACAAGTCACACATTGATTTGTACAAGCTAGAAAATGACCTTTCTCACTTGGGGCATGAAGTTTGCAATTACCCCAATTTCCTCAGCTCTCATGGCTGTTAACCAGCATAGCATCACGATGATCAGCCCAGATATATCTACCTATTCCAGTATATCAATTGCTTTAATCCAAGCCCCCCCCCCCCATACACTTTATAGTTTAAGTGTCCTGCCAAACCTTACCTTACAACCAACTAGCTACCAGTCCCAGTTTCAGAAGCTTCTGTCTGGTTCCACCTGTCTGTTTCCACAAGAGCCACATGTTACCCCAGTTAACACATTGTTGAGTCTGTGCGGAGGAGATGGCAGGGGAATTCAAACAGAACTCCATTCATTCATTCATTCATACAATATCCACTTATCAACTCAGACCATCAAAACCAATGGTATCATCCCAGGCTTAAGTGAATTTTACCCACTGGCCATAGGTATTGATTGAGTCTGGCTTGTTTATTGTTGACACTGTTGGTGTATATACTCTTCATTGCTCTTCACTGCACCCCTCTCTATGTCATAAAGTGAGATCTTCTCAAAGAACCTGTACTCTCTGTCACAGGGCTCCTCAACCATTTCCTACTAGTTATAGTTAATCTCTTTCTTGATGCTTTATATTATGAGAAAAGGTGGATTCACAGAATAGGATTAAGTTGAGAGAGAGAGAGAGAGAGAGAGAGAGAGAGAGAGAAGGGGATACGGTATACAACTGGTGGTAACGTGCAATGAAAAAATTTGACATTCAGTCACACAGTTGACAAAGAATCATACAAGAAAGAGAAGATAGTTGATAAAATGTTCTGGCACTGACAGACAAATGGATGTCCGTATGATCGGTGAGAACCCGACAGACAGACAGACAGACAAGTAGACAGATAGACAGATGGACAGACGGACCAGCAGATGGACAAACCTACAGCCCCGGGGGCCTGCTAAAGGTACTTCTCACACACTCCCCTCAAAAGTCCCATTGATCTACCTAGATATCAGGATCATCTGTCTAAGCAAAGGGTGTGGAAACACAACCCTCCCCATATTTGTGGATCATGTTTCTTTAGGTGTGTGGTAGGATTAAAATAAAACTATTTCCATTTGAACCTGACCTGTACTGAGGTTTTCCTTTGGTTATGTTTGGACAGGGAATACCTTTAATATGATAGCAGCAGAAGGCAAAAGGGGTGTCTTTTTGCGATCTTCCCACATACTCAGCTTGGCTAGTGGGCAAAGATATGCTATTTCTTCATCCTGCGAAAACTATCAAATGTTCAAATATGAAATATGTACAACCCAAAAACAGAAAAAAAAACACCCCCAACCATATCTTTTAACTTATTCTCTTTCTCTCTCAATCAATTCCATGTTTGGATCAAAATCATTCATGGAAAACACATTAAAAGAAGCATGTCTGCTTTAAACACCTGTACAATAAATCAATGGAAATACAGAGAGAACTTTAGGAAAAATTAATCACTGTCTTCTTTTACCAAAACAACTAAGCAAAACAGTGAATTTTTCAACTTTCTCTTGATAAGACCACTCAAACTACCTCCTGTACTTACCACTGTCATAAACCAAAGGGCAATTCAAATACAAAATCCGGTTGCCATATACTAAAATTTAGACTTGAGATTTAATGAAAACTCGTACAAGGTCTACCAGTAGGATCTCTTGTTGTTGTTGTTTTTTTTTTTTTTCTGACCTTATCTTTTCATCAGCTAGAAAGTGTCAAAACAGGATATGTCTTATTAATTACTGTTGTGCGTCAGTCCTCCTTTCCTAGATTGACATTACAAGAGAGGGAAATTGGATATTACAGTAATGATAATTTATTAAAAACAATTTTTTTACATATAGTGACTCTCTCATATGTAATATGTAGTATTCAATCTTTTACATATCATTTGGACGGCTTAAATACTTTTTTCTAAAAAAATTATTTAAAAAATAGATAAAAAACTTTTATTCTTTGTCACATTACTCCAACAGGTCACCTGTATCATCCACACAAAAATGTCTATAAACACACTGTAATATTACTATTATGAGTATGATATGAATTGTCATGTCTCATTTACCTGTTCAACTACTGTCATTTTTGACACATAAATTAATTATCCTAATTAATTAACTGACCACACAGGAAGCAATTTAATCCCCCAGCCTGTCAATCATTATCATAACATTATTCTATTAATATGCTCATCAAAACTACTGCTTGCTTTCCAATTAAATGAAATGATTATCTACTTACATAACATATGAACTGACAGGTCTGAATTTTGGGAATTTCTGACCCTCCCCCCCCTTTCAATCCCCTCAGGCTCATTACCTAAATGTTATATTTGGCAGGTAGAGAGGCCAACTTTATGCTGTAACAGAGATTCCTAACCCCTTTATCCCTATCATATTAGTTGTGTACACTGATTTTTCATGAATTAATATACTTTCTGATGAAAGAAAACTACATTGTGACAATAGTGATTCTTCACCCCCCTTCTTCCTATCATATTCAGGGGCGGATCCAGAGATATTTTCTGAGTCTTCCAAATTATCTTTGTTGATCCATCTTCCATTTTTGACCGTCTTCCGACAGAAAACATTAGATGGCTGACAATGTAAACTTGAAAATCTGACCGTCTTCCAGAAGACCCAGAAGACGGCCTAAATCCGCCCCTGATATTATAATCCAAAGTCCATCAGTACACCAATTTCTATGAATTTAAATGCTCTCTGATTAAAAAAACACCAGAAATGGCTAACACTGGTATTCAGGAATGGCCAGATGGAATTATTTATATTCTTTTAGACTGATCTCAATGGTTAATAGTTAAAGCAACTGCTGGCTGTATGAAATATCCTCAGGTGCACCATGTAGGACCTGAACATGGATTTATGAAAGCACCTTGGGGCAGGAATGTGGATAGAAATACTCAACTTCACTATCACACCAAGTATGGTGCACTTCAAGGTACTAAGTACTTGTTTTTTCTACTCCTAATGGACAAATTTAATTAGATTGGACCTCTTAGATCTTGAGGGTTTATTTTTTTTATCTATTAAGAAAAAAGGCATAGGTCATGTCATGGCTTACTTGAAAAAAATGATTGCAGTATATTCTCCATTTGGATTTGCAATTGAGCTACCTGCAATTTTTTTCTTCATGTAATTGCTCTCAAAACCATCTGATATTATCCCAAAATCATTAAATCTAATTATGGAATATGCTACAAATGTTGGAATATAACGAACTAATTTCATTAACCACACATAATTTCATTCCCAGAAGCCGATGTAAGACAAATTGCACTTTTTGGAAACTGTAGGTTTTCATGTTCAACATTTTTTGTTAAATAAAATTACAGGAAAAAATCAGATAAAAAACACTGCCTGTTGTTTTGTATCAATTCACACTATATCACCCTGAGTTTGGTACACCACTGCCAACTCTCTTCCACATCCAACATCATGAAATCTGATGAGAATGTCTTGAACCACAGGGTACTGCATGCTTTCACACTCCCCTTTCTTTTATTACATTCCCACTATAAACACAATCAGTAGGCAGTTTACATGTCCTCTGCCAAACCTAACACTGAATATCGTCTGAAGTGCTGCACCTAATGGTGTGGAAATAGGAAGGTGTTCAGCACCGTTTTAACTGAATCTGTTTTAGTTACTTTAGGAGGTTGACACTTAATTGCAGGCTACTGTAGTGCTGATCCCAGGAGAATGAAAATAAAAATGCACTGTGGACCATTTTAACTTAGGGACCATTTTGAATGAATTTTTTCTAAATAAATAAAGTGCAATAATTTCACAGGGACTCTCGCTGAATGCAACCAGACTAACAAACTAGCATGACTCCTGTTTTTTTTGTTTTTTTTTCTTTTGAACTTGTATAATCAACAGCTTCTATGTATTCTACCTAACGTCGGGAGGAAGTGTGTTAGTCTGTTCATGTCACTGTCAGGTTTCTCTACTTCAAAGTTGTTACGTCTCATCAGTATCTACTTTGCTTCTTATCGCTTTACCTTAATATCTCAAATACAGGTACATACAACCCCCCCCCCCCCCAATAAATCCCTCTTCCCACAAACAGGGACAAATGAACACACATAAAGGCAGCAGAGTATAGCTGTTGTTTGTATTTTACTTCCAACACACACACACACACACATAAACACACACACACACACACACACACACACACACACACACACACACGTGAACCCACCTTCAGGTAAGGGCAGTAGGGTGACAGCAGTACTAAGTCTTCCACTTCCAAGACTGACCAAGTGTGGCTTATCTGTCTGCACCTTGTAGCTCTTCCCAATCTCTGTCACCTCGATCTGATCCTGAAAGCAGCAATGACAATAACGTGACAATATTACCACTAGGATACCATAGTCCCAATAACAGTCACAGGACAATATGTAACAATGATAACTGGTAGGAAAAACATAGGCATATGGGTGGCAAAAGCAGACAATTACAGCGTCAGAAAACAATAATTACTGTATCAACTTGTTGGCATCATCATCAGCAGTAGCAACGTAGCTAAAATGCTGACAAACTCCGAAGTTACAATACTAGCAAAGCTCCATTTGTGAGGCAGAAACCTGTTACAAATTCCTGCTAACTGAGTGAACGAATGACTCTCCTCCCGTAGAAATGTTTCAGGAATGCGTGTATTGCCCTCATTGTCCTGAAACCTGAAGTGGCATGCAGTTTACTATGACGAAGAACTATGCAAGATGTTTTATGAGGGAAATGAACTTTCAAGGGTTTATCAAGTTTATACTCCCCTGGTATGTACTTTGTATATATTGGTCTAATTGTTTTCAAACTGTTTCAATCTCAACTACGACCAGTTGATCTCTCTTGCTTTTGATCAGTCATGAACAGTTAATTCTAAATGTAATATGCCATAAGCAAATTAATTTCCTAATGACACCAATAATGTTCAAAGGTTATTGGAAACCTACTGCACATTTTACGCCATATTTAGCGTGTGATGTAAAAACAAAGAGGTCTGGCAATTTATCTTAATCAATGGAAAAAATGTTAAAATGTCATTTAGCAGCAGGAGTGGTAAAAAAAAAAAAAAAAAAAAAAAAAAACACACCTCAACTACAAGGTAAAATATATCCAAATTCAGGTAATACATTTATGTCTTTGCATACTGAATTTAAGAGCTGAATGATTAAACCAAGTACATTTTTCATAAAACATTAAAACACACTGAAACCCACACAAAACAGTTTTAAGTTTAACTCTGAGTGAATGAATGCATAATAAAAATACAATTTGACAGTAAGAATGTATCATCTAATATTTGTTATGAAATTATAACAAAATTAAGGAGTCACATATATCTGAGTATGTCATTTGAAAGAACAACAAGTTACCAGGAAAATAAATAAATAAATAAATAAATAAATAAATAAATAAATAAATAGCACCTTATTACAGAAAAGAAAGGCACTGTAACATCAAGAACAGATAAGCACTGGGAGAAAAAGAACAACAATATGCAAACTTTCCAAGAACAACAAACTGTTCCATGAGCAAAAAACATGTCAAACAGAATGACATCCTGTTAGCAGTGATAGAATTTAGTCATAGAAAGGTGTGTTCTGAACTAGTTGACACGGGCATATCAAGTTACACAAATTTGCTGAAACGCAGGCACAACAAGCAGAGACCATGTAAATCTGAGAAATATGTATTGAAGAAAACTTGTTTGTGATCACAATGCTGAGGTAACAAAGCAAAGCAAGGGGAATTAAGTATCGACACCAATTTTAACAAGGTAAATGCAAAATCAGTGCTTGTAACTCTTTCTGACCCAGACCCCTGTTCCAATTTTTTCTCGTTTTTTAAAGCAATCATCACAAAAAACTTTGCAATGAGCGACAACTTGACATAGCAAATGGAAACTCTGTCACAGAAAGAACAACTATATACAATTAAACATCGACAAAAATTCACAGCAAAACTGACAACTTCAAACAAGCACTCTACTACTTACAAAAAACTCATTTTCTTTAGCTTTATTAGCTTCCATTTTGTTTGCCTTATTTGCCTGTAAGTAGCACACTGAACCTTACTGACACTATATTAAATCCAATGCCACATGGCAAATATACAGGTATATATATATATATATATATATATATATATATATATATATATATATATAGCCAATATTAACTGCAATAAATCTACATATAAATAATACCACTATGGTTTTCACCGATTATATCAACATATAAATGTCATGTACTTAAAAACATTAAAATAAATCTTGGCCAGAAGTCAAAATATACAGATGGTTTCAATGACGCATTAAATAAAACCAAACCAATTTACAAGTTATTTCAGGAACTGATGATGCGTGGCAATTACACTTGCTGTTGATGTCTATGTACTAAGTCTGCAACTGAACACATGTCAAAATTGTCTCTTTCTTCATACTAAAAACTAATTTTTAAAAATTAAAATACACCTTAATCTGCATAATAAATATTAAATTATTAAATATTTTCAATACAAACTGGACATTATTTAATAATATTATATCAAACAAACAGTAAGCAAATTCAAGCCCAAAACAAGTTGTAAACATGAAACAAAATGGCTCATAACCAAAATGTTGTCTTGCTCTCTAAACATGAAAATTCATTAAAACATAATACTATATCATACGGTATCATGCAACAGAAATATACTAAAGAAAAACAGAAGAAATTTAATAAAGTCATGCAGCAGAAAACTTCAAACAGTCTTGAAGATAATGAACAAAATGCAGTCAATGAGACACTTTACAATGAAGGTAAACAAAATAAAAGGATATGTTTCTTTTGAAAATCAAAATCAATTCCAATTATTCCCAAAATTAAAAATCACATGACATGAATAATATAACTAACCAACATACATCAAATCCAAACACAACACCACTGATATTCATGGTAAATAATAGTAAGACAATAAAATCATAAAACCAAACACTTCTAAAGGAGAGAACATGGCTGATTGTAAACTGTTCTTTACAAATTATAGCATAACTATTTAAGCTGGAATAAGGTAAACAAAAACAAAATAGACTTAAAGTATATTTTGTGATTTCCAGAAGGATGTAAAGCACTGAATACAATTTTTAGAGGCAGGAAAAAAAGAGGGGGGGGGGGGGGGAATAGGGAGGGCAGGCATTCATCAATAATATGGTTTATTCAGCCATGTTCTTTCCAGAGGAGTGTTCCTCCCTCTCATGCAGACCTTTTCCTTACAATATGAGTACGGGACATGTCAGCTACAGCTCAGTATGCTGTGTGGTACTACTGCAAAACACAGGCGGAAATGTCACGCATAAACTTTGTTTTGGCTTCCCCATGTATTTTAAGAAAATGCTGCGATATAATTAGACAATTTCACACATTAAATCAAACTTGATAATGAATACCAATCTTTATTTGTTTTTGCAAAAATTATGATGAGGAATTTCAAAAATATATCCACCGACAAATATAATATGTACTAAAATCTTAATTTAAAAAATATCAAAATTGCATGATTTTCTTTGTGACAACACTTTTTCCTTTTATAGTAAATGATTAAGAATGCCAATGAAAAATTTGTGACAAAAGAAATTTTGCATTGACAAAACATTTATATACCATCCTCTGATGTCAGTTTTGTAAGTTTATGCTGAACAATTCCAAGTCACTACAAGTAGTTAGCTGAAAGATAATGAATTCCCAAAAAAGAAAAACATGTCAAAGTTTAGTCAGGACCCTAACAATGCACAGATATCCCATGAGGGGAAAAAGGTAGACATGCTGCCGTCTCCCATACCTTCAACTGACGCATGGCAGTGTCCAACATGGCTAATTCATCCTGAAATGAATTATGGGTAAACTTTGATGCCGAAATATACCGAAACAATTCGAAATCCCATACAGTTTTAGACCAGTGCTCTGTCTAATGTGTGTAACTACACATTTTTTTTTATCATACCAACTATAACAATAGTATGTACAAAGTACATTGTACAAAAACATTGTTTTGGGACCATTTAAAATCCTTTCACAGCACAGGGAGATTTGTCAAAATCTTCCACCAAAACAACTGTAATTGATTTTTGTGAAATATCTGAAATCTGAAGATACATTTTAACCTGGAATAACAAGGAAAGTTCAATATTCAACTGAGCATGATTTATATGAACTCTCCCTGAAACGACTGAAACAAAGATACTATTTTTCTGAAAAAAGTTTGATGAGACATCATTTATTTAAACAAATACAGGTTTTGTTTTTAAACATTGTAATAATAAATGCATACTGCCTCAATATTCAAGCTGAGATTACAACATGACTGTATACCTTAAATTTGGATAACTACACAGATATTTGAATATTTGGCAGTGAGAACAATTCTACAAGACAAACATTCAATGTAGTAAAAAGTCTGATTTTTATATGTTAAAAATGTAGAAAGTAATAAAAATGTTTCAACACACCATAAAGCATATTCTTAGTAAGTCTAAGGGGAAATTTAAAAGAGGATATTAATTTTGAGGTCAAGTTCAAGGACGTGGGCAAGGTAGAAAAAAAAAAAAGTAGATAAATTATGAATGCAATGAGTGATACAAATGACAGTCTAATCCATAATTAGAGTTTTTATTTTATTTGATTATTAATAAAATTAGCAGCACAAAAGAAACCAAAAATTATATCTGGAAGCAAGAGGTAGAGCATAGTAAAATGTTACTGCCAGCATCACAGTTAGTTGGAGGGCCTGAAATATCTCAAAATATGTGTTAAAATTTAAATTATCCCTCTTTTATTTTAATTAACTTCAAGCTGCAGAAGCCAATGTGTGAATGACTGAAGGTGAATCTGAGGACAAATTATCAGAAAAGCTTAGTGAGTTCAAGTGTAGTAGTGCCTGCGATTTTAACTGAAAAGAGGATAAATGAAGGGATTAAAATAATCATCATAACAACACAAAATGGGTTTTTGATAATTTCTTTTAGGTAAGAATGCAATTGCTGATTTTTATAAGAATCACTAAGTTTTTTTTTTCAAACATTTGAAATCACTCTTCATTCAAAACCTTTTCAAACCCACTTTGATGTTAAAATGAAGCTTGTATCTGTGAGAAATGAAACTGAAAGTGAAGCCATGACAAGCCAGCCAATCAGTGTGTACCTTACATTCCTCTTCTAGCTCTGCTAACACAGGGGTGGCAATCTGTGAGAAAAGATAACATTTCTTAATAACAAGTAGAGTTATAAAACATAATGATATGCTAAAGTACACATCAACACATTTTTTTCTCTGCACTGAAACATAAAGGTGAATATTTTTCAGGAAATATCAGTCAAGATCAACATAAGGTGAATGTATTTCAGGAAATATCACTCAAAATTAAACATTTTTTTTATAAATAGAAACTCATCAAAACTGCAGCTCCAACTCTCTTTACATTACTTAGTTTGCAATTCATCTGGCCTGGAGTGTTTTCTGTACGGTAATTATCACATTTTCCATGCCTTGCTCACATATTCTTTTTTTCCAAGATTTCACATTTTCTGACACAAAATATTTTCTTCTAGGAAACGTTCCATCTTTAAAAAAATTATTTTTCTGGATCAACATTTCAAAGTTTTTTTTTTTTTTTTTTTTTTTGGCAAATCATAACTTTAGGAAAAATGTTGTTTTAATTTAAGTAAAACTAATGTAAACTACCAGGTAGGAATCTGTACAGGTGAACCCAAGAAAACGTTTATATCTATAAACATAGTTATGATGCTTGCTAAAGTGCAAGGGCAGCTTAGATAGAAACAGAGAGCAAAGGATGGTATAATTATCTGAAGGCAAAAGGCCCACTATTTTGGGATGATTCCTGCCATTTTTCTTTGGATAATCTATTCAAGATGAATCAAAGCTGTTTATGTTGTGAAAAGATAAACAAAATGAATACATAAAAATGAAAAAAAAATTTTCTCTGCTGTTTTTCCTTTTTATTTCCACAAAATATTCATGAAAAGAAATATATATTATAGAATATGCAATTTGGGAGAGAGGCATGTTTTTTCAAAAGTTGAATTGCCAGCATGTGAAAGTTAACTGTGTATGACTATAAGCATGTTGGCAGAGAAAGGAGCCCTAAGGTTTACATAACCTCCTTTTGATGACATAACTAGGAACTCTGCACTGGATCCTACAAAAGCTGCCTGATGCTAATAAGCTAAGTAATTGTTTTAGTTTTTCAGAGGTCCCAGTAGAGTTATGCTGCCAAGGAAAATAAGCAAAGAGTAAGAAAGCAAGCACCCTAATTATTGTGTTAAAAACAATTCAGCTGAAAGTTTCCCACCACCTCCAGGAGACAGAGACAGATGCATAGATGGCAGCACCCTGAAAGCTCAAGAAAAGCTTTGTGTTAGAACAGAGAAAAGATACAGAGATAGATGGCCCAGATTGTTTAGCAGCGACATCTACCTTTTCCTCCTCAGACGGGCTTTGCTCCCCGTCGTCTGCTTTGTCATCGTGTTCTATCCCAGAGTCTGGCGTCTTTACCCCATCTCCCTGAGACTCCTCCATGTCTGACACAGGGAATGGTGGGAGAGTTTCTTCTTCCTATAACAGCAAGTTTGGAAATCATGCAACATATGAAGAACTTTACCCTAGTTCCTGTGACCTCTCCCCTTTCACAGGGAAAAGAGGTCATTCTGTTTTTTCCTAAAAAACAATTTGCAATCTCATACAAGACATCGAGAAACCACAAAATTGTAAATGTGATTTTCCTGTCTATTAATTTTAAGAATTTTAAGAAATATTCCACACGGGGTTAATACACTATCATGACATCTGTTTTGCAGGTTATTCTTGTGAAACATTAGACAAACTTCATAATAACTAGAAATTTACCTGATTGCCATTGGATCAAACAGTATTTAAAAACATAATTATTTAAATTCCGATTATCATCCTCTTTGAAATGGAACTGTTCTCAGAGTTTACTCCACTTGACAATATTTAATACTGGTAACATTACACATGTTAAAGAAATCCAAACAACAATATTGCTGAAATGATTATGCCCTCATTTCTGATATACAAAACAACATAACAGGAAACACACAAAAAATGTTATGAAAAACACACACACACACACACATACACACACACACACACACGGATCACTGCTTTCACTGTCTCTCAGCAACACTATAACCATTTATCATGAGAATCTTCCCACATGTCTCTGTGCTTATAGTGCTATGAAAAAAAGAAATGTTAAAAGATGAATTGAACATCTGAACTTTAAATTAAATGAAAATGTGGAAGTTGACATTTTCTTCACTTGAAGCAGTACATGTGTTTGTTTTTAAGTACCTAATTGGCATAGGAAATGAGCATACTTCAAAGTTCAAATAGGGTTATTATTGAAAATAAATAAAATAATAATAATAATTTCAGCAGGCCGATCGAGAAATGCAAAATTTATTATAGATACCACAATTATTATAAAACATATTACTTATTTATCAATTCAGCAATATAGCTTAAGACATGTACAGTAAGTGATATGCTATATATTTTTTCATAAATGCCAGTAAAGAAAAACTGCATGGTGATATCCATATATAAACATAAATATATATCATGTGAACATTTAAGTCATATTCAGACATAATGTCCATCTAATGGTCAAACGGTCTATTATGGTACATTTCCTCTCTTCATACAGTAGTGACTGACTGTAAAGGTAATAACTCATTCAATCAATTTATTCACAGCTGGCTACCAAGGTAAAACATGTTAAGAAGTATGGGTCTTCTTGAAGAAACCATTAATGTCACCTGGAACTCTGAAAGCTGCAATTTGAATGTTTTATATTAGCATAAAAAATAAATTAATTTCTCCCCAGCCTGTTGTGCATATGTTTTAAGGCCCTGATATGGAAGTATGTAATCCTGATCTGATATCTGTATTTTTTTAACAACAGTCTGAGTCAATATGGTAACTACTTCAAAATTTCAAACACCTCACTTTTTAAAAATAATTTTTTTTTTCAAAATTTATCATTATCAGTCACTGAAATTTACACACACACAAAAAAAGTGCTGTTTAACAAGAAGTTAGTTAACTTCTTAAAACTACAGAATGAACACCATTAAGTAAAATTATCAAATTATTGAATTCATGGTGTTCGGATTAATTGCATAATTACCAAAAGTATTTGTAAGTGTAGAAATGCAATGTGACAAAACGTGAAGGCGTTCATCCATGAAGTTATTTGTAATGTAACAATCTCACCAGGTAAATGTTTGTCTGAGTCTGTAGAATTCTATCTTATCACTTTACCTGGAGCATTCTGCGTCTCCTCTCTAAACTATTGTACTGGGCCCGTGCTGGATCTATCGCCATGGCAACTGATCTTTGCGTGCTTATCTATGTCATTGTTCAATCTGAAAGCAGACAAGGAAGAACTATTACTGAGATGGGATACAAATTATTGAATGTCGTATTTATCATATATATATTGCTTGTTTTATGTAGTCCATTTCAAACTGAACTTAATAATAAAAGTTGCTTTGAAGTAAAACATGTGACCCTTAATACATGAAATGTTATTCAATACAGTGAAATACTGCCTAAGTCTTAAAGAAAGAAATACTAGTAGTTGATTTTTATCCAATAGATACTTAGTGGACTACTGTAGTATAAAAATATTATACACTTTCGTGGACACATGTTCACTGAATTAGGTCTATTAATACAGACTTCAAAATTACCAATGATACTGAGTAAAGAGCTCACAGGTTAGCAACCCCTTTTTTAAGGTTAAACAGCTCTTTATTTCTTCTTCTTTCTATTCTTAATTTTCTTATAAAATGAACAATCAGAGACAGTCACTTGTGCACTGAGTCCCCTCTCAACTCTATCAACTCAATGACAGATTAATCCACTTAATAAATGAACACAAATGTATTGCCTTTGGTGATTAATATCTCAATCTACTTCCTTCTCAACTAGGCAAATCTGCCTACAATGTTTATTTTAGTGTTTTATTATTCCTGATTACTCGACTGCCAATTTATGATTACTAATTGTCATTGCAGGTGTGTTAGATAAAATGATAAAAATAAATAAATAAATAAACAAATAACAGACAAATTTGCTAGAGCATGAATCTCTACATGATATATACATAAAGATATAATCAACATACCTATACATAATACTATTGTCAACTTCTGAGTCCTTTCTCTAGAAATTCCTTAACAATAACCATAAATACCAAAATTTCAGACAGTAACCATTAAGGCCAGTGACATCAAAGGTATCAAGGGGGTGGGGTCTTTATATATCTATTTATAATTTTTTTCTAGATGAATACTGTACAATTTTTTTGCATCTTGCAGTAAATAAGCATTACGGTCTAGCATGGACTGCAGAAATAAGCATAATCAAACCGGGGTGGTAGGCATATTATGCTGAAGCAAAATAACTCTTAAATTTAGAGGAGACAGCATCATACGTGTAATTTGGCCAATTACAAGCAGTTCTATTCCAGTACATGTATGTCCAAATTATCACATCATAGGAAATAACATATATCCCACCTGAAAAAACTGTTGTATACAAAAAATAACAGATATTTTAATACAGATAACTGCATGAAATAAGTCATGTCAATACCAAATAATGAGATAATGCTGGCAAGTCGCTTTTTCCTAAATTTGACTAGTAATAATACTAATACAAGTTAAAGGGATTTCCCTTCTGACAACCTGTACATGTGTCCCTAAATTGGTAGATGTAATCATCAACTAAGCGTCAAAATATACCTTCAAATGTTAATTATACGTCAATGTAACGATTTTTTTTCTAAACAGCCAGCATGCAAAACATATACCTAAGGCAGTGAAGCTCCATCAGGGTTTAGAAATACACACAAAAGTAAGAGGCCCCACTGTTACAATCTGTTACAGTAACTACTACCTTATGGTTACATTTTACACCAAAAGCATTTGACACCAGTAATGTTTACAACACCATACCTCTGAGGTTTTCCCTCAATATATATAATAGCATATAGTTGTACTTGTAGTTTTCAATGACAGCAACCTTCCTACAGCTACAGATTTAAGAACTCAAACAATATGGACTTGCATCAATTGTAAATTGCTGAAGCCTTTCTCAGTTCCAACAGCTATCGCTATACTCACAGAACAAAGAGTTCTACCACTCATAAATTGCTGTGCAGCCTTTCTTGATTCCTAATGTTACTCCTGTACTAATACAACATGTTGTATCCCTTATAAATTCCTGCAACCTTTCAATACAGCCACTTCTTTACCAACACAACCTGTAGTTTGTATTGGGAGCTGACTCACTACATGTCTTCTGCCCCAGAACTGCTGTTATCAATAAAACCTCTGGCTTAGTTCTCCCTGTAGGATTTGGCTTTATCTCAAGGGGTTGTTTGTATTACTGAGGCCACTGTTTTAACCATATACTCAGTGAACACTGGAGAACACATGTATTCTGAGTGGCATTTTCATTACAAAGTAATATTAATATATATCACCAGGGCACTGGACAAAAAACATTTTAATTTGCATGTACATAGGCAAAACCTTCACCATGATTGGTCAATCAGACCTGTACAATGGACCTTGTGCAGGCATTGGCTGTGGATAAAGGGTAAAGAAAAACCATGACAACATGTTGCCAACAGAATCAAACATATATAATCACCAGCCCTCTATATCGGTGTATATTGCCACGACTATTACCTTTCTCTCAAACAACTCAGACATCATGTTCAGAACATTGAGTCAGCCAGGTGACCAAGACCCCTTGACGAAGGGTCCAAATGTCAAGTCTATTTGGAAACAATCTACTTTATCCCCATCATTATACAAGAGACAAAAAGACATCTATTTCACCAAACAGATATGGCTAGAAAAATGCATAAAAAAAGCAACAAGCATAGAAGTTCTAGGACATAAACATGATGCAGTCTTCCGAACCTTGCATCCATTATTGTCTTGATGACATTAATTATTCAGGCCTTGTGTAAAAAAAAAAAAGAGTTGAAGTGCCTTTAAGTGTGAAGCTGTGAACCCAAAATAACTTACCTGTGCCACTTTCTTGTTCAACCTCCCCACCAGGTACTGAGCAGTAGCTGAGGATCTGGTTTTCATTCAACACATAACTGTTACTGGCCAGATTTATGACCATCTATTTAGGAGGCTCTCAACCATGGGTAGTTGCATGTGGCTAGAAGTTTTGGGTTTTCTATAACAGGCCTTAATTTAAAGCTAGCAATTTCCATTGTACTGGCCTCACCAAAAAGTTAAGAATCAATTTGATCTCCAATTTTTAAGATCGAAAAATTTAGAGCACTTAGACTCCAGATAGATCAGTAATGTGAGTGGACTCCTTATGACCTATTCAAAAATGTTAAGAAATGGCTTATTGTTTAAGACTGACAGAAGCTTTTTGCAGATGAGCTACACTTAAAATCATGCAAGGTTGAATTTTTTGGGCTCTGTGATAGATTTTTCTCCACAGCTAAAAGCTTCTTTGTACCCATCTGAGGAATCCACTTTATAAAAGGTTCACCCTCAGTCAATTTTTCACAGACTACTTATATGAGTAATTCAATTTTTTTCCACAAGGGATGCAAAAAATCAGTTACATGATTATTATAAAAGCAGTATCTTCACATCTCTGAATGAAAAAAAAAAAAAAAAGGCTTTCACACACTTCAATTCTGATGCATAAAACATGTACAGCTCTATGCAGCTGAAGTGACATGCAAGTATCAAATACTGCACTATGCCAATGGAAGGAGCCAGTCAGGTTCAACCTCTACCCCCGAAAAAAGAAAAGAGAGGATGCTTCTCCATTTACTGATTTATGAATCTCGGTGTTCATGCAAGCAAAGAAGAGGTGTATGCATTTAAATCTATTGAGATTGCTGTTTGGATGGTATCAAGAACCTCAACACTAAAAAAGATGAGAGAAAATTTCTGCATCTCTCTGCCATCTTTATCTCTCTTTCTCTTTCTGTCAGACATAGACACATACACATACACCCCATACTTTTACTGAAACAGATATATTCAGGTTACAAATACTCATCACTGAAATGACATATATTACCAAATTAACAATTCATTAACAATTTTCCCTAATAGTGCATAATCACCTGTATGCTGCCTCCAACTCCTCCCTAGCCATCTAATACAAGGAAGCATATTGATTAACACATAAAAAAGGGGATTCCTAGAAAGTAAACATTGACCCACCAGCTTCCTCTTCTTGCACATTTGCAAACATTTTCACAATCAGCAAATAGCTATAATGTTTCTTGACAGCAGTTTTTTTATTGCCCAAGGTTCAGATTTGAGTAAGTCTATGTAAGCACAGTGGAAAACCAGTTCTACTATTCTGCACCCTCACTGGTTATTTTCTTACACTTTCAATAACAATTAAAGGAATGAATGAATGAATGAATGAATGAATGAATGAATATCAAAGACGAGGCTTTTTTACCTTTTCACATTTACTACCAATATATATGAAGAGAGAGAGAGAGAGAGAGAGAGAGAGGGAGAGGCTTGACCATTTTGCTTAAGATTTGGCTTTACAAGCAAGAAAGACTAAGTCTTATTATTCCATACTGTCAGACAATTATCAAAGCAATGCAGCACCATTGTATTTCTACTATAACCTAAAAACACGGTTAACCATCATGACGGGACAAAGACATCATCCTTGACCAACAGTACGCCGAATGACTTGATTATATAGTTTTCCTATTTTAATTCTAAGCTTTTATTTTTTTAATTACTCAATTATTTATCAATTTTTATTGATACTTAAATGTGATAAAACAACTTTTTTACTAAAGATTATGAAACCATCTTAACTATATATATTCTGTCTTGAAATATATCTCTTCCTACCAATATATATTGTAAATGCACTGGATGTGCGCAGAGTGGTAATGCGCACTTATTATATGAACAAAGCTATGAACGATTGAACGACACAGGTGGACACGGTATGAACTACATGTATAAGCAGGGGCGTTAAAAGTAAGCATTAATCCATCATTTATTTGTTACATTCTACTTAATTATATACTACATTCACAATTCATTTATTTAATATTGTTTATTTATTTATATTTTTTGTAGTTTTGGACCGTATGCGTAAGCTACACCATTCATGGACGCGTAACCAAAGCGCTCCACATTCACTATAATAAACTTTGCTCATCATATCTACAAAACAGCGTTTGTTTTGCAGTAACATATATTTTACACATTCCTAAATAATTTATATTTCATTAATTTTTTAATACAGATAAAGGCAGTAACATATTAGAGATAATACCAAGCAAAAGTTGAAGTCATTTCAGGTTATATCACTGAATAGAAAACAGATT